TTTCTCCTATTTCGTCCCTTTTTCTGTGTTGGGATTGCTGTTTTTTTACTCGTTGAGGTGTGTCCGTGGCTGTAACTCTAAAGCCTCTGAGCCTCAGCCCTGAGCAGCCCAGTGGTTTGGTTTTGTACAGACTGATGAATTGTACTATTGTGTCTATATCTTAAGTTATCGGTTCATCCAAATAAAGCCGTCTGAAACCCGACACCCGCCGGCTGCTCGTCTCTTTGTGAGGAGAACAGGACCCCCCCGACCGGGGTCCAGCCCCCCCCCCCCCCCCCCCCCCCCTGATTTTAGGGCGTGAAGAGCATAAAGACAAAGGCTCAGAGTCTGATTTCAGGTTTTATTGTGACATGAAGGATAAACCAGCTGGTTCCTGAAAGTCTCAGCTGGACTGGATGGTCCTACTCCCATCTTGAGGGGGGATGTAGAAGGGCGGAGCTTAAAACAGGGGGAGGGACTTAAGTAAGATGGGAAGAGCTTTAAACGGGGAGGGGCTTAACACATAGGGAGGAGTTTAACGAAGATGGGAGGGGCTTAAAACGGGGGGAGGGACTTAACGCAGAGGGCAGAGCTTAAACCAGGCGGAGGGGCTTAAAGCCGAAAGAATCGGAGCTTTGCTGCTTATCTGTCGACATTTGAGTTCAAATCAGGAGTTATGAGGAGTTTTATTTAGTTCAACTTCAAAGGAAAACATCACAGCTTCAAACACTTCAAAGACTTCACAGACAAGAAGCTACAGCAGCTGTTTGAGATCAAAGGGAACAAAACCAGGAACCAAGCAAGGAAAATACTGGACTCACACAGCTGGAGGACGCACACCGCTGGACTCACACAGCTGTACTCACACAGCCGGAGAACTCACACAGCTGGAGGACGCACAGCTGGACTCACAACTGTAGAACTCACACAGCTGGAGGACTCACAGCTGGACTCACACAGCTGTAGAACTCACACAGCTGGAGGACGCACAGCTGGACTCACACAGCAGGAGAATGCACACAACTGGACTCACACAGCTGAACGCACACAACTGGAATAGTCACAGCTGGAGGACTCACACAGCTGGAGGACGCACACAGCTGTGTGTGTCTGTGTCTCTGGGCGTGTGTGTAGTCGCTTTGTGCCTGTGTCTGTGTGTGTGTTTCTTTGTCTTTGTGTGTTTGTGTGTGTGTTCAGGTGAGATTTTTTCTCTCTTCAGCATCAAACTCCTCAGAGTTTATTCTCTGTGGTGTGTTCAGAGGCTGCTGGAAAGCTGGGACATCTGGGCTTCACCAGATTCCAGGTTTCTTTCTTTCTGCTGAACCAGTAAAAAAGTGAAATACATCAGCTCCTGATTCAAAAACTTTGGGTTCAACTACCTCAAAATAACACACAGAGCAGCTCAAACGCACAAAGTTCGAGTCCCTTTTTCCTCCGTAAATGACTGTTGTGATGTAAAGTCTGATAAGAGGAGGGTGATTCTAACATGGGGGGCGGGGCTACTCATCAGGGTTCTGATTGGCTGCCTCAGACGGTCGTAAACGCCTCCATCTTGTTTCCAGGCTGTGGCGACAACACGACAACGACGCAGCACGAGGCTGCTGGGACGTCCTGACTAACTACTGGATGCATGCGCGCCACAGCAACGGCCGCTTTGTCCACGCCAGTAGAAAAAAGAAAGCTGTAAACAGGAAATATGAAACTGTAAAAACAGTCTGAGGAGGTCCGAGTCCTTTTCTCCAGCAGACAGCCAGGTGTCCTGAGGCCTCGCCGGGGGGGGCGGGGCTTACAGCAGCGAGCTGGCGGGGCTGCCGGGCAGGCTGTGGGGGGGCTGCGGCCGGCTGTGGGGGGGGCCGGCGGGCAGCAGGTCGTAGTGGCTGGGGATGTGGCTGTTCCTGGGCAGGTCGTAGGGGCTCTGGGCGTAGCCGGGAAGCAGCAGGGCGCCCTGGACGGCGCCCTGGACGGCGCCGGCGGTCGGCTCTGAGGGAGGGGGGGCGGAGACAAAGAGGGTCAACCCACCAGAAGACAAACGACCTGCAGCTTCAGGCTCCAGAAACAGCCCCAGAAATACGGCCTTACCTTTGCTGCCCTGCTGACGGAAACCCAGCACAGGCAGAAAATGGCCGCCAATCAAAGAGCGACTATGTTAAAACCTGTTACAAAGGGGCTTCTGGGAAGAGGGAAACCCGGGAACCAGACACGAGGGCTGTGAAAACAGCAGCCCGACATGGAAAGCGGCAGCTAGCCGTTCCAGGAACAGCGCCTTTCATCTCTAAACAGAATCTAACTAGTCTGAGCTGGAGAACATGTGGGTCAGCTGGGTTGGGGGTCACACTCAAATCTTCTGGGGTTTAAACACACTGGGAAGGAATCATAGAAGACATTTCAAACGTCTTTCGCAGCTATATTGAACTGAACCCCCTCGTTTTGTTTGTTAAGTACAGCAGAACCTCTACATAGGAGTCTAACTGGTTCCAGGACCGACTTAAAAAATTAAAATATTGGTATGTTGGTTCAAATATTCCCATCAGAATTCACTGTAACTCCTAAAATTCGTTCCAAAAACCGATGATAACTCCTCAATAAATACTGCAGATATTTACACATAGCAATAAAACAAATGACTTATCTAAGAGAGCTGTATAATATTATAATATAATATATAATATTATAAGGCAATAATCAATAAAAAGGGTTTTTATTGGCCCTTTACCTCAGAGACTGAATGGAGGTAGAGGTGGAGACTGAGATACAGGATGTACCATAACTTACTCTGATTTCACTACATGAACCTTAAACTAACTTAGCTTATTTATTTTTATTTAATCTTCATATTTTATATATTTTTCTCTGACTTCGACGTATGTTGGAAATTTACTTTGGGTGTCGAGTCGAATATTTGATCAAATTTCACTTCAGATGTTGGAAAATTTGTATGTTTAGCCATCGGAAGCAGTTCTGCTGTACAGAAAAAACATAATTTGCTTTGAGTCATTTTATTGGTAGCAAAAAAAAAAAAAACTATTAGCTTCAAATTTCCGTTGGTCTAAACATTTTCTAAACATTTTCCCCAAAATTCTAAACCAATGGAGAGAGAGAACAGCATAGCTAAAGCTAGTAATTTATTTAAATTTATTTAAATTTAAATTTTGTTACATTTTTAGTGAATTAAAATTTTCTACAGCTGTTCTGTTGGTTAAACGTCTTTCTGTATAATAAAAAGACAAATAAACCCACCAATGTTGTAGTGGCGTTTATAAAAAAAAATAAAAATAATAATAATTTTTTCTTTTAATTAATTTAAAAAAAAATCATTTTACTTTTTTTTTTTTTAGAAAATTGTGTTTAATATGCCAAACACTGAGTGAATGCAGTGTCTTTTTATAAAAATACATTTTCTTTTTTATATATATTTTTTTAGACAGTTGTGCCAAACACTGAGTGAACTGTGTCTGCAGCGTCTTTCCATACCAGAAAAAGCTAAACAAACAGAACACCCACCGATGTCGTAGACGTTCCTGGCGTGGACGCCGGCGGCGGCGGTGGCGTGGGGGGGGGCGGGGCAGCACAGGGTCAGGTGCTCGCGGCGGGCCGGTGAGGTCATCTCCACGTAGCTGCTCTCTGAGTGTTTGCAGGCCGGCGCCTCGCTGATGGTGGCGTACGGGTTCTCGCTGCTCAGAGAGCAGCTGGACACCGAGCCCTTCAGCTGGCCTGGGGGGACAGGGGTCAGAGGTCAGAGCTCCACTCTGAGCCCACTATGAGTCCACTGTGTCCACTCTGAGTTCACTAAGAGTCCACTAAGGCCACTATGAGTCCACTTTGTGTCCACACTGTGTCCTCTGAGTCCACACTGTCCACTCTGTGTCAACTCTGTGTCAACTCTGAGTGTACTGAGTCCACTCTGAGTCCACTCTGTGTCCACACTGTGTCAACTCTGATTCCACTATGTGTCCACACCGTCCACTTTGAGTCCTCTGAGTCCACACTGAGTCCACACTGTCCACTCTTTGTCAACTCTGATTCCACTATGAGTCCACTATGTATCCACACTCTCCACTCTGAGTCCACTCTGTGTCCACTGAGTCCACTCTGAGTCCTCTGAGTCCACACTAAGTCCACTCTGTGTCCACTAAGTCCACTCTGTGTCCACACTGTCCACTCTGAGTCCTCTGAGTCCACTCTGTGTCCACACTATGTCAATTCTGAGTCCTCTTAGTCTACTGAATCCACACTGAGTCCACACTGTCCACTCTGTGTCAACTCTGAGTCCACTAAGTCCACTATGTGTCCACTCTGGGTCCTTCTCTGCTTTCAGAAGAGAAGCTGAAAGCAAAAAAAACAAATCAAGCAGCAACATGATCCCCGATTCCACGTTTGGGGAAAGAGCAGGAAGG